GCCTTGACGCTGGAAAGAGAGCTAGTTTGGGAGCCGTTGCCCGGGAGGCCTCACGCGGTTCCGTCCTCAGGGGCCCTGCTGGTTTGCTGTGGCGAGGGCGCCGTTTGTGAGCCTTGACGGCTGGAAGAGAGCTAGTTTTCTTGTAGGTTCAGAAAGCAACGTTAGGCAGTGGGAGCCGTTGCCCGGAGGCTCGGTCCGTCCTTCAGGGCTCTGCTGTTTGGGCGTGGCGGAGGCGCCGTTTGTGAGCCTTGACGGCTGGAAGAGAGCTAGAAAGCAACGTTAGGCAGTGGGAGCCGTTGCCCGGAGGCTCGGTCCGTCCTTCAGGGCCCTGCTGTTTGGGCGTGGCGGAGGCACCGTTTGTGAGCCTTGACGGCTGGAAGAGAGCTAGTTTGGGAGCCGTTGCCCGGAGGCTCGGTCCGTCCTTCAGGGCCCTGCTGTTTTGCTGTGGCGAGGGCGCCGTTTGTGAGCCTTGACGGCTGGAAGAGAGCTAGTTTTCTTGTAGGTTCAGAAAGCAACGTTAGGGACTGGGAGCCGTTGCCCGGAGGCTCGGTCCGTCCTTCAGGGCCCTGCTGTTTTGCTGTGGCGGAGGCGCCGTTTGTGAGCCTTGACGGCTGGAAGAGAGCTAGTTTGGGAGCCGTTGCCCGGAGGCTCGGTCCGTCCTTCAAGGCCCTGCTGTTTTGTTGTGGCGAGGGCGCCGTTTGTGAGCTTTGACGGCTGGAAGAGAGCTAGTTTTCTTGTAGGTTCAGAAAGCAACGTTAGGCAGTGGGAGCCGTTGCCCGGAGGCTCGGTCCGTCCTTCAGGGCCCTGCTGTTTGGGCGTGGCGGAGGCGCCGTTTCTGAACTTGGAAAGCTGGAAGACGGCTACTTTTCTTGTAGGTTGAGAAAGCAATGTGGGGCATTGCCGTGCGGTGCGGCGACCTTAAGCTGGAAATTTCATCAGGTATGCACGCGCCACTGGTTGGTGCGACACTGCCGGCCGCTGGGATTGCGATGCGTTACCCGAATTCGGCCGGAAGCCAGTGTTGAGTGCACCACCGTGCCGCATGTTGGACATGCATGCGAATATGTGCGACCTGCGAGCAGGCCATTGGTAACGCGAAATTGTTTGCCGCAGCCATTACCGCGGCGGTGATCGACGCGCCCTGTTGCCACAGGGCTTTGCACAGACTTGGCACAGTACGGGCAGATGTATATGTGCAGTCGTGGCGGTGCTGTGTCAGGCCCGACAGCAAGCTGCTGGGTCGATGAGTGGGCAGTGTCCGTTTTGGGACCTTCTGCTCGCGTGGAAGTTTGTCTTGCTTCGTGTATTTCCTGAATTTCCTTGCGAACGTCCTCTAGGATTGCTGCGTGCCGGTGGCGGGTTTCGCGTTGGCGCAAGCGGGCCAGGCGTTGATTCGTGCGATGAGCAAGACGGCAAACGAAGGCAAAGGCTGTGCATGCGTTGCATACTTGTGTGCCGTTTTGAGTATATTCACGACCTTGTTGCCAAGCTGTAAACTCTGTTCGTGGCTTGCGTTCCGCGCACTGGCGACATTGCCAACAGCCGCGTAGTTTGGTGGCACATTCTCTGCAGCAGCGGCGATCCGCGTTGCGAGCTTTCCATGCGGCTGCGCCAAAGTCGGATTCTGCTTTCACAACGCCACACTTGAAACAAGGTTTCTTCACTTCACATGTCAAACACACACGAAAAAAACTACACTGCCGTTGACGATGCTTTGCTGGAAAATTGTCTTCGGCATGCCCCAGCTTGCAAACGTTGCATTGCCACGGCGTTCCTGCGTCTGCGTAGTGCTTTGTGCATTCGCGACAGACGCGATCCTTGTCCTCGCGCTTCCATTGACCGGTCGTGAAGGCTGCTGCTGGCTTGCGTTCCGTACAGGTTGCACACCGACGTTCTTCGCAGTATGGCCAACAACGATTGCCAGTTGATGAAATCCCCTCGAAGGTGTCGCAGAAGAAGGTCTCGGCCCAAACCAATTCCCTTTTGGAATGGAGCGGCGTCAAAAGGTCAAAAAATCAACAATTTTTCGCGTCCTGTGACGCGAGTGATCGCGACATAGACCGTGAAGGGATTTCCTGTGGGACCTATACAAAGATCCGTCATCACCCCCTCTTTGATGGTCTGTCCTTGCGCCACATGCGCGGTGATGGCGAACTGGGGTGCGAGCGGGAATTGCGTCCGCGATACACGCAGCTTGGGGCGTTGGCGTTGCCGGTCTAAGTACCACACACGCCTGCAAGTTCCGACGGGGTATACGTTTGCATCCGGCAGACCTGGCACATGCCATGAGGTTGCGGTTTCAAACCTCACATACACTACGGCCGGCAAAGTGTTGCACACGACTCCTTCCGGCGCAGGCGTCTCATTGGCAATCGTGGACCAACCGACGACGTAGCCCTTGGTGCCTTTTAGAATGCCACGCTTCCGGTCGAGGTGATCTGTTGCACGGACAGGCATGCCGACGCACAACGGCAACACGCCGTACAGTCCACCGCACTCTTTGTCGTGTCGCTGCAACCATTGCAATTTCTCCGTCGTCAAATTCGGCTTCTCCTGCACGACCACAGACGACGCAACATCTTGCGCAACAAATAAATACGGTTGCTTGTCTCTGGCATTCGCCCACTGTATGGCGCGAAGCTTGTTCACGTGGTATTTGATGTCGTTGGTGCCGAAAATCGCGACCGCATCTGCAAATTCCTTCTGGAACCGTGTGTCCGCAGCTCCTTGCGCCACAAGTATGCGCGAACGGCGATCAGCCGCACAGTAACTGCATTCGGCCTCTTGTATGGCTTCTGGAATTAGGCCTTGTGTAGGCAACGCGGCGCAACTTGGTTGTTGGCACGTCGCCTGCCCAGCAATCCAGCTGCCTGGCACTGTGGTAGGCCGCCCGTGCAGAAAGCGATGGTTATTGTCGGACAAGTCACCATGGCGCAGTTGCTCACGCGCCACAGAAGATATGCCCAGGGGTCGGCGGCAGGGGGCGGAGCCCTTTAATAAAAGCAAGCCCTGATCCAGAAGCCCCTCGTGCTGCACCGAGAGCACTCTTAGAAGATCCTGGAATCAGAAACTTTGCAGCTACAAAGAGTCTCCTCGTATGACTTTACCTGGGCAGCCACTCTTAGGCCCAGGACCTGACAAAACGCAGGAAAAATGGAAAGCCTCCAGGGGTCCCTCCTCTTCGAGGGTGACCCTCTCCAAATGCAACGAACAAAGGGCAAGATTCGTGGACTCGCATGGACTAATGTGGACACTATAAGGAAAGAAAACATTAAAAAAGAAAAACAGGTTTCAGAAGCTGGCTGTCTGTTCTTGAAATGGACACATTGGGGGCTTATCGCTCTTACCAAAGCATTGCATGCGCCTCTTTGGCCCACTGTTGAAGGAGATTCGGGTGGAAATTGCCAGAAGTCTTCCGCAAAAGTTCATGCTCCTGGAAAATCTGGAAATGTCAAGTGAGCTGCGAAAGGACCGAGCAATGGCCGTGGATTAGCTCTAGTCACAATTTCATCGCATCCTGCAGAAGGAAAGTCTTCCGATGCTCTGCCTAGCGACTCTCCGCGCCCGAGCAGTCTCTTGTCGGTCTCTTTGGCATCCCAAATTTCCAAGCCAATCAACATAACAACTGCTTGCAGCCCGATGAAAGATTTGTTCAGCCGACCGACTTGCACTGAGTACAACAACTGTACTGCAGGAAAGCTGCATCGTGGAGGCCAAGGGTCAAGAGTTCCGATTCGTCGTCAAAGGTTCTGATGTCCTTTGCCCAAGGGCCACGTGCTGCATGGAATGCTGCATGGTTGTCAAGTGATTTCAAGCCTCTGCAGCCAGTCCTCCTCCAACTCCTGTAATTTGGAGTAGTGATCATTGCCTTTGCTAACCTCTGCAAAATCAATTGCCGTCTGCGGACAAGGCTCGGCTGCGTCCACTACATCACTTCCAAACATGGACATATTATTCTTGCCTGGCTTTTCATTTCATCCATCACCACACGGTACTCTTCCTTCGCAAGGACACTTCACATCACATCGCGTAGGTTTCACAATAGGTTATGATGATGAGCTGCAGCTGTCTAATTACTGGGATGCGACTCCTGAAGACTCCTCTGCTCCTGCTGCAAAGCCTCAACGTCTGAAGCACGGACATTGCAAAATCAGAAAATCGCAAAACCTCCATCTCAAACCATCTCCAAACCTATATATTTACATCATTTTACATCTGTCCAAGAAATGTCAAGGCTCAGTATTCTAAACTCGGAAGCCAGAAACAGAAACAGAAACGTTCGATCCGCCGATCCGCCGCGATCCGCCTGGACATTCTTCTCTGCCTCGGTGCTTTGCTTAGAAGCCTCGCGTGATCAGAGTATGACATGTGGATGGCAGAACTGTCTGGGCAGAACTTCAAAAAAAAATCCTGTATAAACATTGTGTTTCTCTGATAAAAACATGTTCCTCCTTCAAATCAATGACATCAAGTGACCTCCCGAAGAGACGCTGCTCGGTGCACGAGAAGCTCCTTGACAGGTTTGGTTCTTAGAACTGGGCAAAATCTGTAAAACAAAAATGTTTGCTGGTTCAACGGAATTCAACTCTTGCAGCGATGAAATGATACTTGAAATGTGTACAAATACTTGCAACTTGATACTCTTGATTCGTTCTGAGCGAAGCCTTTAGTAACTTTGTCTTCTGCTCGGAGGCTGGGTCCTGCAATCTGCATGCGAATAACACTTCCCTGCTTCCCTCACAGCATTTATACAATTTTTATACACACCATTTCTTGCAAACCTCAACAAAAAGACACTGATCGCCAGCAGGATGGAGGATGCGTGATTGGAAAGGACTGGCTGCCAATTCAGGGAATGCTTCGGCAACGGCCAAGGGCCGTCGTATTCTGTGTGACAGCAACTGCAAACATTGCCTGTGACATCCTGTCACCCCATCGTCCTTCGATTGATTCATTTCTTGGCCTCAGAACACAGAAAATAGACAATTCCAACAGAGTCAAACGTGACTATACGTGAGACGCTGTCTCCAAAAAAAAAAAAAATCAAAATATGTTTTCCGAGAATAGCATCTGGTCTGAGAATCCTGCCAGACTCTGCCTTTGCAAGGACCTGTCGAAATAAATAAATCCGCCCACACCGCTTTGGCGGTGAAGGCGTGCTTATTGGGGGGCAAAACAGCAACACTAAATGCTCAATGACATTTGTTAATATAGCAGTCGCTATATCAGCTTTAGCTGGGGGGGGGCCCAAAAAGGGTTTCGCACCGAGACCAGAATACGGTGGTGTTTTCGACATTTTTCGAGGATTTTTGGGTGTCTGAGCGCAAGAGGGTATTGAAATGGAATTTTGGGTCATTTTGGTAGCTTTCCGGCAATGGAAAAACGGCCAAAAATGAAAAAAAAAAAAAAAACATTGTACATAGCAAGATTTTGCAGGGTTTTTGGATGCCAGAGCATTGAAAACACTGCAAAAACAAGTGTTTTGGACTGACGTTATAGCAAAAAACGTGTAAATTACCGTATGCTTGACTGGAAACATTACAAAAACACTGTCAAAAGCAATGTTTTGGAAGGATTTACTGCCTTTATGGCAAAAAACGTGTAAATTACCGTCTGTTTGACTGGAAACATTGGAAAAACACTGTCAAAAACAATGTTTTGGAAGGATTTCTTATATATATGTTGGAGTTGGCTACCGGCATTGGAACATGGAAAAATTGAAGAAAACACTGTAAATAGCGGTATTTTCAACGGTTGGGGAGATAAGGGAATTGGAAGCATTGTCGAACATGATGTTTTCGACCGGTTTTATGGCGACAAAAGTGTAAAGTACCGTGCTTTGAAGGAAACCATTGCAAAAACATGGAAACACATTCAAAGAACACGGGATTTGGGGGACTATCTAGGCGTCGTTGTCTAGCTATTTGAAATTCCGCAGCTTGGAGAGCCTCCAAGGGAGGGAAAAGTGAAAATTCCATAGCTTGGGAAGCTGTCACGGCGGGGAAAAGTGAAAATTCCCTAGCTTGGGAAGCCCCCACGGGGGGGAAAAGTGAAAATTCCCTAGCTTGGGGAGCCCCCACGGGGGGGAAAAGTGAAAATTCCCTAGCTTGGGGAGTCCCCACAAGGGGAAAAGTGAAAATTCCCTAGCTTGGGGAGCCCCCACAACGGGAAAAGTAAAATTCCCTAGCTTGGGGAGCCCCCACGGGGGGAAAAGTGAAAATTCCCTAGCTTGGGGAGCCCCCACGGGGGGGGAAAGTGAAAATTCTTAGCTTGGGGAGCCCCCACGGGGGAAAACCACCCTTAGCCCCTCTCACGGACCGAAATAAACCTGCGGTGTGGGCGGCCACCCCACGCGAAGCGGGGTGAATAGATTGGCTTAGTTTTCCTGATTCCTCTGGTCCTGCGCCCTTACTCTTGCTGGAGTCTTCTCTTGAATTGGAAAAAACCAGACATGGTTGGAAATACAGTCCATCGCCTGCTCATGACGTGAAGCACTCTCCTGGCAAGCAGATTTGACCCCGGGCCCCATTGATTGACCCCCCATTGGCTCACAAGTGAATTGCGCGTGATGCTCCTGAAGTCGTTTCCGCAAGGTGGCAGCCTCTGCTTTGTGTGACTCGAGGGCCTCCAAGTTTTGTGCTGCAAAGGTCATACTTCATGGACTAGGATGGAGCAAAGTATTGAGGTGTGACAAAATGACAATGGCCAAAGAATGACATCAAGGTAGATTGAGAGAGCCGAACCCCAACGGCCTGCATGTCAACTGAGAATTTCTCCTCTCAAAACAAAGTTGTTGCCAGCTTGGCATGTTCAATCTAAATTTGGCAAGCAATCTCTTGCAAGCAAATCTCAAACGCAAGTGCAGTAGATGTTCTTGAGTCACAACATCAAACGGCTGTCGTTTTGTTTTGTCAGCTTAATCAGCAGCAGTTCACTTTGTACAGTCATTCTCCAACTGCGAATGTTTGGAGTTTGCATCAAGTTGCTTCATGCTAAAATGCAGGTACTGACTTGGGCCACCACAAGTTTGTTTTGAGAGAAGTCACTGGTGTATGTTTCACCATCATGCTTGCTGCATTTAATGCCTTTAGTCAAATTTGCGGCAAAAAGATGCAAAAGTAGAATCCTGTGAAATCGCTGTGGGTCACTTTCGGTGAATGTGAATTCTTGATAATTCTTGCATGATTATTTTCGAACCTGAGTTCGTGGGGTCGATCTAGGAATGATTCAGTGACCTGTGAAGGATCCAATGAATTTCACAGAATCTCTTTGCAGCGTCCTTGCTGAGGCTTAACTCCATGTCAATCTGGGAGAGCTTTGCCTCTAACGATGTTGCGCACTCCTCCCCCGTTTTGGAAGGTGGCTCTCCCAGAGGACACTGACGGACCTGTTTCACCATGCTTCACCATGCTTCAATGCTTCACCATGTTTCAGTCCTGAACCGCCAACTCCTTGGTGGCATCCTCGATTTTCTTGGAGGTGGCTGTGCGAACCTGGAGGAGCTATGAAAAATCTATGGAATGCGAGTTGAAACTTTGACAAAGTTCTGACAAAGCAAGAAACCATAAGAAACCCATTCAACATCATCCAACTGTCCATCTGAATTCTGCGGTGAACCTCCTCAAACTCATTGCGCAGCTCTGTCAATCTCTCCTGGAGTGACCCAAGTTGATTCTAAATTCTAAATCCAGGTTGGGCATGATATAGCGATTTGCCTCTCATTCTAATTGTTCCATATTGTTGCTATCCCCAGGAAATTCTCGATGATTATGCCGAAAGAATCACTCCTTTTCCACGCTGCAGGCAGCGGCCACTGCCTGGCCAGCACAGGTCTTGGTCACCGGGAATGTCTGGATTGACACAAGTTCTTCGGCGCACCTCTTGCTTGATGGCCAGCTCTGCTCGTTTGGCGAGGAGTTCTTTCACCTGTTCCTCAACCTGACTCACAGCATCCATTCTTCGAGCTCGCAATCTTCAAAGCATCATGTGATAGAAAGTGAAAATGGCATCGACAGCAAACCATGAAGAATCCCGAACGCCTGCAACTCTTGCTCTTTTGCTGATGTTGAATGGCCTTTCTGCGCCTGTCTGTTGTCCAGTAAGGACTAACGAGGGAAGTTCAAAAGGATTCCACCAGGAACCTTGTATCTTACTGGTAAATGCCAAGGCTGAACTGAACCACACGCGATGTATCCTCCTGTCTTAATGATCTGTGGTTATGAAGCAGCAGTTACAACTCCAAATGGCTGGATTGTGTACAAATGTAGTGTTGCCGACTTGTGTACAGGGTACAATTTCAGCAGTTTCATTGCGAAACTCGCCATTGCAATCAGGTATTGCACTCCTTGCTGCGTTGGCAAATACGTGTGACACTGTTGCTAGTCTTAACATAAGAAGGTGGAAAGTGTCAGGACATACCATGTAATTTTCAAACATATATATATATAATATAATAAATATATATAATATATAATATATAAAATATATATACATATATAATATTATATATAATGTATATAATGTAAATAATATATATAATATATAATAAATAGTATATAATATAAAATTAATAATAAGTAATATAAAATATATAATAAATAAAATATATTATATATTATATAATATATAATAAATAATACATAATAAATAATATATAATATATAATATATAATAAATAATAAATAATAAATAATATATAATATATAATAAATAATACATAATATATAATAAATAATATATAATATATAATATATAATATATAATATATAATATATAATATATATAAGTATAATATATAAATATAATATATATAATATAATATATATATTATATATATATTATATATTATATATTATATATATATATAATATTTAAATATCTATATTATATATTATATATATTATTTATTATATTATATATATAATATAATATATATATATATATACACAATAAATATATATATATATACCTAATATATGTAAATATATCAAATATATATGTAATTTATATATATACATGATATTTACAATATAATATTATATATATATATTCAATCTACAATATATATATAATATATAATATTGTATACATATATATGATATATTGTATATTAAATATTATATATTAAATACTATATATATTACATACTATATTTTATATACTATATATTAAATAATATGGATAATATTATATATATATATGTGTGTATGCATATATAATATTTTTAATATAGTCTATATATATATATATGTATATATTTATTATATTAAAATATATATATATATGCATATAATAAATTATAATATATATTATCTATATATAACATAGTTGTTTTATTTTACATAATATGTATATATATATATATCATTAGAAATCTGCACGCAAAGGCCGGTGAGGCCGCGGTCCCGTGCTAGGGTTGTTGAGAAAAGAGAGATTTGTGGCGCCGTGGTGTTCAGGGTCACATTTCCTGGAACAAAATGAACTCCCTTGGTATCTTGGTAACATGACCGCAGCACCACAATGAACAGATTTTGCATATATTTAATTGCAGGGACCAATGTCGGCAGAAGCCACTGCCTTGGCACAGTCTTGATGCATAGCCCTTTGCTCGCTCAAGGCTGTCTTCATTGCAGCTGCAACGACTTCCTGCTGAGCTTGCGGGTTCTGTAAGGTGTGCATTGGTGTGATAATATGGTGTATATAAGATGTGTAAGCATGTCGAGCACGTCTAGCACGTCTAGCACGTCTAGCACCTCTAGCACGTCTAGCATGTCTACTGAAAAGCGATCAAGGCTCGCAAGGATCAGAACATGAATGCCACAGCATGTCACAGCCACAGCGGTCCTGGCGGGCTGCTTCTTCCGCAAGTTCCTGCAAATCCTCTGGCTCCCAGGGGTGAAATCTGTGCCAGTCTCCAAGGTCGTCACTCTGATAGAAGCAACAACATAAGCATAACATTCCAACAACATCCAACAATTATATACAACTAGTGGCAATTGGGGAAGACGGCTGGGAAGAGAAGATTGCAGTACCAACTCCAATTGCGAACGACAATTTACAGGCACCAGGTCATGCACTCTGTGCTTGGCAGTTCGCTAAAGAAAATAAACTCAGGTGCTATCCCCAACAGTTTGAAAGTATCTGCATTTTTGCCATAAAAAGTGCTTATTGTGAGTTTGTGCCACAAACGTCGAATGCTATCACCATGTGCCAGGTCATTTGCTGCACATCAACTACATATGGCCATCCTCGCGCGGCCTACTTGGTTTTACGTGTCGTGGGCTCTGGTAACATCCACAGGGCCCTTTTGAGCCTAGCAATCATGCTATGCATGTGGACAAAACAAGTCACACTCCTTTGCATCCTGCGTTGGCACTTTGAGCGGCATAACACACAACAAGATATCTTTCCATGTCTTCGCATTGGCAGCGGAGCTGGCAAAGATCCGGCTCCAGCCTTCGCTGCCATGTCGACATCGCCTGCGAGACGAGCGACTGGCAGTGGCGCTGGTGCTTCATCTCCTACCTCTCCAACTGAATCGTCTCCATTTGTGAAAGGCTCCTTCGTGCCCCGGTTTGACAACACCATCAGCGGCTACAAGGAGGGTCCAACTGTATGCACGTAGGCTTGAGCTTCAAGGTCGTTCAAAAGAGGTTGCCATGAATGTTCTAGCAGCACTGGAAGGGTCTAGCTGGACGCAATGCGAAGACATAGACCTCAAAGACCTAGAAGCTGAGAATGGCCTGGATGTGCTGTTGAGACGTTTGGATTCGAAATGGAAGTATGATGAAAGGGTTGAGCTGGGATCCATATTTGACACCTTCTTCTTCAAGGTTCAGCGGAAGCCCAATCCATCCCTCCTTGAGTATGTCACCGATTTTCACCAAGCCTTGCGTGATGTTCAGAGACTGAAGGTAGATCTTCCGGAGGAAATCACCGGATGGCTCATGTTGCGTCGAGCTGCATTGACCAAGGACCAACAGCATCTCGTTCAGTCTCAGGCTGGCAAAACGTTGACACTGGGAAACGTGGACCAGAGCCTTTTTCTGGTTTTTGGTCAAGACTTCAAACAGTCATATCATCAAAGTCACCGTGGAAGTTCGTTCCCAAAGGGAAAGGGTCGTTCCAACGTGCACCATGCTGAAGATGACGAACAATATGATGGTCAAGATGATTGGCATGAAACATACATGGAAGCACACTATGAGAATGATGATGCTTAATACTATGAATGTGATGATGAATGGGATGACACTATGGTTGACAAGCTGACTGGTCTCCCACTGCCTCTGAATGGAACCCCAGTGAAGCCGCAGCCAATGATGAGTCCCTCTTCGATGTCGTCTGGCTCAGCTGCGTCAAAGCCGTGGCTTCTACCCAGTTGTGGCCATTGTGGATGGCAAGGGTTCTGGCACGTCTCCAGGTGGGGGTACATCAAAGTCAAAAGGCTAAAGTAAGAAGGGATCCAAGCAGTCACCATATCCACCAAAGGGGAAGGGTAGCTGTTGTTGTTGGGCATTTGTAACGCTGCCACAGCCTGGGCCCACCTGGGGTGAGTGGCTGGAGGCAGCTTTCAGGGCGCCAGAGCGCGAGAGATTTCTAAGGAACTCGACGAGTCAGCTAGACAGAGGCTGATGCCGCAAGTCGAGCAAAGCTTGTTTCCGTCTTGCAAGCGCAAAACTACTCGATGCAAAAGGGGAAGGGTATTGAAGCTAGAGGAGGAGCCATAGCAGGGGATCTAGTTTGTCTGAGATGTGGCAAGACTGGCCACAAAGCTGCGAACTGCAAAAGCGCTCCTTGTGCTGCCTCTGGTGCCTCTTCTCCTGCAAAGAAGCGTCCCATCGACCTTGACCCGATGGTAAACATGGTCTTCCAAGCACCTTTTGATGAGTTTCATGAGGCTGAAGAGACCTACATGCAAGGTGAGTCGGTGGTGCGTGCTGGTGGATGGGTGACAAAGGAGCCCGACATGCGCATCCAAGACCAAGGTGCTTCATCATATTTTCTTTCTGGCAGTGAGTACATCTTGCGATATCTGAAGTGGTTGGGAGTTCAGGGTTACCCCATGGACACAATTTCATTAAAGAAGTGCAACACATTCTTTCGTTTTGGCGGCGACGCAGATGGCCATGCCCGCTGGATGGTTGAGTTGCCTGTGCACTTCGCCAACACTTCAGGTCGAATGCAGTGCTTCATCGTGTTCGGGTCCATGCTTGGACGCCCAGTTCTGAACAACTTGGCGCTGTGGTGGACTTTGGAAGCGGCAAGATGCGCATCCTTGGTGGCCAGTGGACTGAGATCGACAGGGGCAAGCAAGATGCTATGCTGTTGCGACTTGCCTCAACCTTCAACTCCATTGAAGACTTCGAGAATCCGCAGTTCGATCTCCGAGCCAAGGATGATGATCACGATGACGCATGCTCTCTGCAAGATTTTCTGCAAGATCTACGTGCGGTTGAGCGCTATGAGGAGATGATCACCGAGGTCCAATTCACCGACGACGTGTCTGAACATGAGTCTGTCGATGCTGAGACCTATGTGAATGTGGGTGAGCAGGTTCCTGATGCCCATTAGCTGACCGAACGCTCTCAGTGCCCAATGTCAAGCACCTGGTCATGGATTCAGGGTCAATTGGTGGAAACTTCAAAGAAGGCAGCCCAACTTGCCTGTGAAGCTCAATGCCAACCTCATCCCCGCAAGAAGCTCATTTGGGAAGTCTACAGCGGCACTGGACTTTTGGGCGAACAAGCTGAACGCCCGATGCGTTCTGGACTCAACAATGGCTGTCTCCAAACTGGCTCATCGAAAGCGCTCGATGGAAATGGCCTACGAACTGGAGCCAGATGAGGTCTACATGTCTCCAAAGTGCACACTTTGGTCGCCCGTGCAGGCCATCAACATGCATTGTGAAGCTGACTGGGATGAACTTTGGGAGCGTCGAGACTTCGACCATGAGATCCATTTGAAGTTTTGCAAGAAACTGGTTTCAGGTGAAGCGTGGAGCCCATGCCCACATTGAACATCCTCATCGAAGTGCTGCCTGCAGGGACACTCCTGCTTCTGTCAATCTGCCAGGTGAACGCACTAAATTTGATCAATGTGAATATGGCTCCACTACCACAGTTGATGATGCTGAAGTTCCCATCACGAAAACCACCTCCATTCAGACCACCATGCGTGCGATGTCTCGCATTATGTCTGAACGATGCTCTGGCAACCACCAACATGCCCGACTTGAAGGTGGCAGCAGCTACAAGAAGGCCGAGAATTACCAGTCTGAGCCTGAGCTGGCATGAATCTTGCTCGTGCTCTTCTTGAAGATGAAGGACTGTCAGAACAGGCCTGTGCTGTTCAACAAGACGCTGAAGCTCAAGAGCTGACTGGAGTTCTTCGAAAACTTGGCACAAGGCATGGCTCTGAAGCGGTGCGCATTGCCTACCGCCTCCATCGAAATCTTGGGCATCCTCGAAAGGACACGTTGGTCCATATATGCTGCAGGCCAAGAATGCTGACCCGAAGGTCATTGCTGCAGCTGAAGCCCTTGAGTGCCCATACTGCAACAAGTTTTCTTCACGAAAGCAATCAGCTCCAGCTCATGCAGAGCGTCCCATGGACTTCAAAGAGCAGCTAGATTGGGCCTGATGCCCCTTCTGACAAGTCCTCCAAGCGGAAGATCGGCACGCTGGTTATGGTTGATTCTGCAACTCGCTTCATGGCTGTGCGAACCATTCCTGATGAATCCAGCAACTCCCTCATGAAAGCCGTTGAACGTAAATGGATTCGCTACTTTGGCCCTCTGAAGCAACTCAGCGTTGATGAATGGTCTGGATGGGGCAGCGATGCCATGATGCAATGGTCTCGTGACCATGACATCGAGATGAAGATCTCTCCTGGGCAAAGCCATTAACAAACATAAATTGTGGAGCGAAGACATCAACTCCTTCGCAAAGCACTCTCCATCTTTATGACTGAGAAGCGACTTCGAAGCCTTGATGGACTTCACAGGGCCCTCAACTGGACAGTGCCCTCATTGAATCAGTGCACCTTCGTGAATGGATACACACCCATGCGGCTTGCTCTTGGGAAACAGCCCAACATGCCTGGTCTCATCTCCGATGAGCGCACTGGCCCAGTTCAACTTCAACAACCCAACACCTCCACTACGACGGCGTCTTGAACTTAAAGCCAGTGCCCAACATGCCTGCGCTGTGTCTGAGATTGACGTCAAACTTCGACGTGCTCTTCTCCGACGCTTTTCAGGTGCTGATGAAGATCTGCAGCCAGGCCAACGATGCCTGTATTGGCGAGAAGCTGGCAACAGCTTCCACACGGTTCAGTGGAAAGGCCCTGCAGCGGTCGTAGCTGCCCAACGAGACCCAGACACTGGCACCATTGACACCTGCTGGCTGGCCCATGGCACCGTCCGCCTCCGGAACCTCATCAGGTAGCTGCACCAGAAACTTCCGGGCACCCGAAACTTCCGGAACCTCACAAGATATCTCCACCGGAACCCTTCGGAACCGCACAGAACCCTCCGGAGTCTCAGCAGGCATCTTCACCGCAACCCTCCGGAACCTCACCAGGTATCTGCACCGGAACCCTCCGGAACCTCACAAGGTATCTGCACCAGAACCCTCCGGAACCTTGTCCGGCTGCACCGGATCGCACCGGAGCTAAGCAAAGTTTTGCTGTTCGGGAAAAATATGTTCCTGGTAGCTCCTCCTATTGATATATGATATATGGGTGTGGGTCAGTAATCTGGTATGAATCGCTCCACAGAAATCCGTACTATGGACCAAGAGGGTTTGCGCAAGGTCCCTGATCCGTACCGGGTCCCAGGACCAGCAGCAGTCTTTACTTTAAAAACGGTATGGGTCATGGGTGTGGATCACGCAGTATCCTAAGGTATGGATCAAGGTATGGATGCGGGGGTATGGATTGTGTGGGCCCGGGGCCTTGATCGTCCATACCTTGTATTTTGACTTGTACAGTGCGCATATATGGTAGTGGTCAGGATTGGTTCGGAAACACGGGGGTGGTTCGTTCAAGTCATGCTCGCAAAGACTGTTCTAAAACTGCTTTACAGGACACTCCAGAGTCTTAGAAAGCTCCTTCCGTTGCTGCTCTAAATTCTTCTCCATCTCGCTTGCTCTAAGAGCCTCAAAACCAAAATGAATCGACTTTTTATCGTGGATAAATGTGAAATTTTTCTCAGATCTTGTCAGAAGAATTTCTTTGGTGTTCTGGCTCTGCCAGGCCCTTGAGACCCTGACTTCTGCATCTGCAGCTTCTTTGGCTGCATCTAAGGATGCCCGTAGCTCTGAAGCTATCCTGAGTCATGCGACGTCGCCATCCATAAAGTCTCAGTTTCAGTTGAAACGGTCAAAAATGCATGGAGCTGGTAGCTGTCAGTAGGTCTGTGTGAGGAGGAGTCTTTCGCAATTCTGCGCCCTTTGCTTTTGCATGTTCGGCTTGCACCTGCCAAGAGGAAATTGCAAAGAAATGCAAAGAAGAACAATTGCCAAGAATAAGCCGAGCTCACCCTCGTCTTTGGTCTTTGCTGCTGGGTCTCATTCAGTTTATCGAACAGGACCTTGGAAAACAAAGCAGAAACAGATTGCCATTATATAATTGATGTAAAAGTAGTAAAACCAAAAAAGAAATTAAAGGACCGGATAACCCCACATGCCAACTTCTTCCAATAATGAGCAACAAATTAAATGTTGTAGCGGGACGGGGAAGGAAGGAAAGACAAAGGAAGGATCGAGAAGTGAAAACAATTGTGTGGGACAAAGTTGTATGTGAAAGATGGTGTGTTACAAAGAAAGATGGGGTGTGAAAAGATGGTATGTATGTATGTATGTATGTATGTATGTATGTATGTTTGTATGTATGTTTGTATGTTTGTATGTTTGTATGTTTGTATGTTTGTATGTTTGTATGTTTGTTTGTTTGTTTGTATGTTTGTATGTATGTATGTATGTATGTATGTATGTATGTATGTGTGTCTATGTCTATGTATGTATGTATGTATGTATGTATGCATGCATGCATGCATGTATGTATGTATGTAGGTATGTAGGTACATACGTACGTACGTACGTACGTATGTATGTATGTTTGTTTGTTTGTTTGTTTGTTTGTATGTTTGTATGTTTGTATGTTTGTATGTTTGTATGTTTGTATGTTTGAGTTTGTATGTTTGTATGTATGTATGTATGTGTGTGTGTATGTGTATGTATGTATGTATGTATGTATGTATGTAGGTAGGTAGGTAGGTAGGTAGGTAGGTATGTTGTGTTGTGTTGTGTTGTGTTGTGTTGTGTTGTGTTATGTTGTGTTATGTTCAAACCCAACCCAAGCGCGCCACCGGAGCCAGCCCAGTACGATAAGTGCCATGCCTGCCACGCAGAATGCACGTCGATGTCGCCAAGTACAACGCCTGCCAGGCCTGCAAAGCAAACAGCGGCGGCGACCACGGCACCAAACCCAACCCAAGCGCGCCACCGGAGCCAGCCCAGCACGATAAATGCCACACAAAGTGATGATCGGTGTCGTGACAAGTTGTGTGTGAGTAAGTTGTGTGGTGACAAGTTGTGTGTGTGTGTGCAAGTTGTGTGGTGACAAGTTGTGTGGGAGCAATTTGTGTGTGTGTGTGAGTAAGTTGTGTGTGTGTGTGCAAGTTGTGTGGTGACAAGTTATGTGTGAACAAGTTGTGTGTGTGAACAAGTTGTGTGGTGAGCAAGTTGTGTGTGAACAAGTTGTGTGGTGAGCAAGTTGTGTGTTGACAAGTTGTGTGGTGACAAGTTGTGTGGTGACAAGTTGTGTGGGAGCAATTTGTGTGTGTGTGAGTAAGTTGTGTGTGTGTGTGCAAGTTGTGTGTGTGAGCAAGTTGTGTGGTGACAAGTTGTGTGTGTGTGTGCAAGTTGTGTGTGTGTGCAAGTTGTGTGTGTGTGTGAACAAGTTGTGTGTGTGTGTGAACAAGTTGTGTGGTGAGCAAGTTGTGTGTTGACAAGTTGTGTGGTGACAAGTTGTGTGGTGACAAAGTATGTGGGAGCAAGTTGTGTGTGCAAGTTGGGGCGGCGGAGAGGCGGGGCCAGGCGGAAGTGCACAACCAAAAACAAGAACCCCACACAAAGATGTGGGGAAATACCGTGCAGTGATTTCACCAAGGTATTTCAGTCGAGCCGCTTTCTGCTTCTGCTCTTGCTGCTTGGACCTGCAGTGATGAAAATCCATAGTCAGCAGGTCCAAAGTGTTGCAGTAGTTACATGTGCGACATCAAGCCAGAGCACCCTCAACGGCACTGCTGTGCCACTCGGACAGAGGGAGGCATCTAAAACTGGAACGACATTTCAAACCCAAAGGGAGCCTCCCACATGCACCTGAAACAAGGATACAATACCATCTACATATGTGGGCTGATATCACGCGAGGGAAAACCAAGCTCCAAACAATTCCTGGTGCTCTTCAAGCTCAGATTTCATCTGGACAAAGCGCTGCAGCAAGGCCTCTTCCTGGGAACCAGGGTCGGCGAAAATTCATGGCAGTACCCTGATAAACCAAGCGTGGTATGACGTGATTGAATTGCCTGGATAAGAACATCCAAGTGGCAGACAAAAGCACTCAGTCACTCACTCGCTCACTCAATTATTCTGAATGTCTTGGCAAACCAGACTCGCTTGCTCCACTTGCACCCAAGGAAAGTAAACGAGCTCGCCAAATAGTATGTGGTGTTTTCATGACTTGGGCGACTTGTCGGAAAGCGCCAGGTTGGAGAAATGGCGAGCAGTCAGTACGACTCCCTATATGAGGTCTATAGGTGATCTGACCATGTTCATTGGAATCACTTTACGTATGCGCACTACACTTCGTTTGCTATTCGGCCACTCGAGTTGCAAATTACTTTTGAATCGCTTCGCCAAGCTGTTGGCTGTCACTCCGCAGAGAGGGCTGACCAAGTTTCTGCTAGGGCACTTCAGCTTCGTTGAAGTAGGTTTTGGCAGTACAAGCGGGCATTGAAGTCATTCGTTCACTGATTGAACTGTTCCTTCTATCAAACTTCGCCATTACTTGACTGAATCACTCACACACACACATTTTCAATCCATTCTAATCCACAAGTCAATATAACGAAGGCACGAAGGCACCTACGGACTCAACAACTCAGTCAACTCATGTACTATTAACGACTCCGCTAGTCACTCAAAGACTTACACTACAAATGACTATCCAATCAACCACTCACGTGACACGTGCTCCCTCAATCACCCATTCAATCGCTATTTGCGTCACTTCGTCATTCACTCCAAGATTGGACTCCCTCACCCACTCATGAATGCAACTGTAGGCCAACCGATTCCTACAGCTTTCTCATCCTTTTGCCCCAGGTTTGTCTGGACTCTACCGCTACCACTTTAATAATTCAAGAGCACAATTGTTGCATCTATCAGCAGGCCGAAACGTGCATTTACTGCAATGCAAGACTCAATGTTTGCAACAGAGATACTGCTAGCAGCCACTTTGAAGCCAGATAAGTCACAAAGAGCAACAAGAATTGAAAAACAAAGCCGTGTGAGCTTCAAATCCCCCAACCTTGTTGACGTTTTCAGCTGTGGTCCTGTGGCCAGAACTTCAATTTCAAGCTTTAGGTCAAGAATGGTCCCGGAGTTTGAGGTGAATGCACAAGAGGACTGAGGAAGGTTGAGGAACTGCATGCACTGAGACTGTAGAATTTTGTAGATGCATGGCGGCCTTGCAACGGAAACTCTTAACTTGTTCGCTGCCGCCACTGCACCTGTCCGCTGTACCAATCACGACGGGAACGAAAAACTGATGCAGTCAGTGAATGAGCATTATCAGGGGAATGCACTGTGAGACTTGGGACTAATATTTTGATTTCAATTGGCGGTTCTCCTTTCATCATCTTCTTGCCATGTATAGCAAATCTAGCAAATCTACACTTAATGGACTCTTGGCCTTAGCAAGACCCCTCCGTCTGAAATTCAAAGGTGACAGGCGCCACTTACTCGAGACAACTTCGCTCGTGGTGGTCACGAATTACTTCGTCGCTTGGGAAGGGATTTACGAAACTTTTGCTCTGCAACTGAAGGCATCTTCCCTTGGGCGTCACAAATATGAAACAACCTCTACAAAGGTTTTGGAGAAGCTGAGGCAGTAAGCCTTCTCCACTTTTTCGGCAAGTATGGGCACATGACTAATCCTTTAGGCTGTTCGTCGTTCAAAGTATCACCCGTGCACCCCCTTGGCCTTGCAGCTCTTGCTTTGCTGCAATGAGCTCCTTCAAGCATCTCAAGGCATCTCGAGGCATGTGAATTCTCTGAGAGCTGCGACACGTTGAAAATGTGTTTTCTCCTGCTCCATTGATGTGACTCGGTGTAAGCGTGATGTGACGGCCTTGGGCACATGAACTTGGCAATTATGGTTGCCGACTGTTTTTCTGCTCTTGCGTGCCTCCATTTGGGACGACCTCTTGGTACTCGCGGCCTCGTTTTGAAAAATGGGGCACGACTAGCCAGGAGTGAAAAGTGTAAAAGCTTGACCATATAAATGTTGAGGAGTGAAGGAAAGTTACACCCCAAACGACCGGAGGGAGAAGGTTCGCTTGCAAATTGCTGAAGATCAAGCAGAAGGCCTCCAGCGCCTGCTGCATTTGCTCTATTCGCTGCCTTGCTTCCTGCCGACAGCCTCACCAAGGGACCAAGGGACCAAGACTCTCCACTTCTTTCCGATTCTGTATCTCCCAGACCGAAGCAGATCTTCAAGCCTGGCCTTCAACATCATCTGCTGCTGTATCTATTTGGGCCTAGCATTTTGCGGAGCATTTTGCACGTCCCCTAACTCGTTCCAACTGGCTGTTGAGCAGAAAATCCTATCCCGCAGACTGGGAGACGGGCCAACTCGGAATCAAGTTGACGCTTGGCCTGCAACACAAACGGACGAAGACATGGCGAGGACTTTCAGTTTTCTATTTTGCTCTTCCTTCCTATTGTCTCAGGTTGCAAGAGGTGTGGGAGTCTCGTCTATTTGCTCCTCACAAGAGAAGTCCTGCTGCATGCCCAATCCTATTCAGTCTTGCTTCGGCTCGCTCTCATTTTCACCCAGCTCAAGTCATGTGCAAAGTCGTGTCAGCTGATCTTCCTCACACAAGTCCCGAGACGCGACCTCCCTCAGCTAGCCAAGAGCAAACGGGAAATACCTTTCCTTGACCACCTTGCGCTGATCTTCGTAGAAAGACATTGATTTCTCCTGCGAAAGCCGCGAGGCATCCGAGAAGCCAGCAACACTCATATATATATATATATATACATTTATATAATATATGTATAATATTTAATATAATATATATATATATTATATATATACATAATCATACATATATGAATGCAATCCAAGGAAGAGATATGGTAATTCGTAATGTTGTTTCACCTGACGACAAGAGTAATCATTTTATATTAGAAAACAAAGATTCAAGTGTGCAAGGAGGGCACTGAGGAAGCTTGGGTTCAAGATCGTTTAAGTGGGAACTTCTGTCTACAGGGCGGAAACGAGCAAAGGCCTGTGGCACACGAATCAGCCCGGACTTGCTCAAATGGACCAACTGAGACCGAAACATTTTTGCGCAGAAGATGCTCTTTGCCCTGCATGAAATAGGTACATGGTGCCGGGTGCTTGTAGAAGTACTTGGAGCGCAGGCAATGTGCTGGATTCAAGTTGAACCACGAAGGTGCAATAGATCCAGCCACCTGGACGCACCACGACTTCATCTCACTTGACATCCAAAAAAAAACACAAGTCAATAGTGGCTCAATACTACAGTACGACTTGAGACGCCGTTGAATCCACGATTATGTTTCAACACCCAATCCTCAACGACATATTATTTTCGTTACGGTTTGGATAGTGTATTTTAGTCGTTGGTTTTTACAAATACATATGGATTGAGAAAACAAATGATCGATCGACCAACGTCTGCTACGACGTTGACACTTGCCAAGGACATCAAGGACTTGGCACCTGGTCATATGTAAATTTGGTAGGCTCATGCTCCTTCACGTTGCCCAATTTTGGTACAATTGTCCTCAATCAAGTTCACAGAAAGAGCATGAAAGCGCCAGCTTTGTTGAGTACAGCAAAGGAAATGGCACAACAGACGCATGTGTTTGGCACTTCTCATTTCTTCCACCAAGCTTCTGCAGTATAAACCTTGGATCCAAATTTCTGCCCATGATGGCAGCTCAAAAGCAACAGCTGTTTCATCAACCGCACGAAAAGCATTGAAAACACACAACCCACACCGAATTCCACCAAGCCACCAATGCACGGCAACATGGAGAGTGAACGCCAGCAGCATGGATAAGCCCAACGAAGTGTCCTCCAAACGATCCGAACGTCTGATGGGTACTGAAGTAATCTGCAGAGTGGTGCTGAGTGAGGCCTGCGAAGAACTGCAAGAACTTGCTAGGTGCAGATCATGCAGTGTCCAACCGAACCCAAACAGGTGCAAAGTAGTGCAAAGTAGTGCAAAGCCATGTCAGTGACGTCTAGATCTTGCTTTGGGTCTTAGGGTCATGGAATTTATGAGGACACATACATTCACCATGCCAATAGATCCAATATGATCCAATAGTACAGAGGTCACGGTCCTGGACGCAAAAGCTCGAGGATACAGTGCAGTTGGCTTTGAGGACGAAAGCCTATTCTCAAGGAAATTCTGCACAAGAGGCCATGGCGGCCATGTGTGAGACGGGATGAGACAGGTGATTGGATCTTTTCTTGCACGGGCAATTCACCTTAGATTGGCCCAAGGAACGGCAAGTGTCAAAGCACAGGGCAGGATCAAGAGCATCTGTCCGTAATCGTCCACCACTGAACCTTGGTCCAGAATGAACGCAAGCCTTTCAGTGGCATTCGCTTGAACGAACTCTTTGCCGCTGAGATTCTGCAAAAGCAAAATGACGGCACACATCGCAGTACCCGGTAGTGGTCAAAGCATATAATGAACCTCAGACTTTGCAGATTTTTGAACTTGACATTCACGTTAGAACTTGAAGTTTGCAATATTTTTTGACTTCAAACCATCATCAAACTCCAAGCGACAGGTGTGATAGCGCCAGAGCTATGAAGAGGGGCAGCGTGTAGCCGCCAGGCAGGAAGAAAATAAGGACGGCAGCTGTGATATTGATGAGAACATCTGCATATCTCCCTGAATCCATAGGCACCAGAATCTTGAGAGCCTCACAAATTGGACTGATGGTGAACAAAAATCTTAGTGAGATGTTCACCTTCACATAAGCAGATGTTACCGCCCAACCAACATCCCACAAGTCCCACAAACATCCACAAGCCACACCTGCTGTGCTCTGAAGCCTTTGATGTGTGAGAAGCTTGAAACCACTAGGCGTGCCAAATGCAGAGTGAAGCAATTTGCGCCGATGGCTTCTCCTGCGTCAATTTCTCAGGGAAAGCAAACTGAAAGGCCGTGAAAGACCATGAAAGCAGGTGAAAGACCGTGAAAGAGCCAGATCCGGTTTGGCATTCCAAATCTACTTACATGAAGTAGTCAAGACGTTGCTTCCACCTATGCACCTTTGGTTCAGATTCATGCATGCAATTGCACCGTGGTTGAACAACTGAAGAGGCCGGCCAGTGCTGTTTCAAGAAGAGTTGCGACAGCAGCAATCGCTGCCTACAAAGGGAATGAAGAACATTGCTGGCCAGCAGTACTTAAAGACGGCGAGGCCAAGCTGCCGCCTCAAATCAGTTTCACTTGAAAGAAAACAAGAAAACGATAGAAAAGGGTCATGAAAGGAGTGAAAGGAAACTTTAAAAACCAGTAACACGATGGGGGATAGCAATGAATCATCGTTGAGTTTGAATCTACACGCAAGACTCTAGACGATGGTCTGAGCAAAGCCGTTTAAGAATGTCACAATGTATGTCTGTGTGTGTGTGTCTGTGTGTGTGTGTGTTTGTGCGTAGTATAACCAGCAACGCACCTTCACATTTTCTGCACGTTTCTTTCATCTGCTATTCTGATTCTGATTTCTTAAGATGGCAAGGAGCATGGATGTTAAAACCTATGCTTGGACTATCTTTCGCAGGGGGAGAGGCTAACCAAATGTTTTACCTCGATACAGAAGGAGTTGAGGGCTTACCCAAGTCTAGGGCATTCTGGAGCCAGAAGCCTGATAATGTACACTACCACCCTAGTTTTGCCTCCTCTAGTTCTCGTTAGAGCATGAGTCTTAATTAGTCTTAACTGGCTTCGGAGATGGCGTTGGCCCTGGCGAAAGGAGTCGAGCGCACGCACACACACACACACCCTAGATGGACCCTACTTGAAGGTTTCAAAGCTACTGAAAAGCCTGTTGCAGTGCCTTTAATGCAGCAAGCAGCTGGATTTCAAAACTCTCAAAGATCGCTTGGGCGCGGGTCAAGTCTGCAATGAGTGTTCCGCCATATGTCCGCGCTCGCTGAGCAACCTTGGATGCAGCTGTTTGACAGGAAGGGATTTAGAAGCTTGCACACCATGGAGAACGTGAAATATCCCGCACACACGACACATGTCAAGATCAAGCTGCGGCTGTGCGATAGGCAATACTCCCAGTCAGGGCTGCATCCAGCAATATGTTCACCAAAATGGAAAATGTGTACAGGACCTCAGCTGCAGCGTGCACTAGCGCACATCAAATTGATGAGAACTGATGTTACATACTGATACTGTGTCCGGCAAACGCTTCAGAAATACATTTAGTTTGCATTTCGACATCTTCAAGGAGATCTTCTGGCACTGTAAGATCTATCAGGCTATCAGTGTCTGGTCTTCTCTCGTACAGAGCAAATACCCAACCGTTTGGGACACGCTTCCTAAGCAACGTTGCAACTCAGGCGCGGACCATGTAAGTTCCCTCCTGTGAGTCACGAAGCATAAAGCCAACCCTCCCAGCTGCTTCTGCACATGTTGTATACATTACCAGGTTGCCAAGGACAACGATGATCGTCAAAGACATTGTCACAGCTACAGACGGCCTGTCGCCATTTGAGTAGGAGAACGACGACGTATACTGGGCAAAGGGCATGTAGATAAACACTGACCAGGCAAAACTTGCCAAGAGGATCATCTTGATGGCTGCCCAAATTCGTTCGCGTTTCTTCTTTCTCGGAATTGCAAGATTCTGCCAACAGATTCCCATGGGTTCAGCTACCAAAGCTTGCACCTGCAGTGTAGAGCCACGAAAGGAGATCTTTTTCTTCGAGTTTACTGCTGCATCCCTTCCACTTTCTGTCTTGAATACGACCAATGCCGCGGGAGAAGCTACCAGACTCTTGGAAATGCTTTCGGCCGAAAGGGCCTCTGGACCTGCCGGAATCTTGCTGTGATCTGTGAGATCAATTCCCAAGACCTGGGTCAACATCAACTTGTCCATACCTCGAAACCACTTCCATCGAGCAGAGCTTTGTGGTGCAGCACCTTCATCGGCGCCGTCGGCCTTGCTCGCAGGCTCAAGTGCCATGACGTCTTCCTGGAGGATCTCCAGGATTCTGTCGGAATGCTGTGCAAAATCCCAGCCAACCGAAACGCCAACTACATCCTGAGCTGGACCACAACCCACTGCTGATCTGTGACATATAGTTCTCACAAAGCACTTTATTGATCTTTATTGCATGTACTTGCTGCAGAGGTATTTAGCCTGATGCTTTCCAGTAAGATTTGGCTGGATTCATAGAAGGTCACCCCACTTCATTTCTGGATCAGTCTCCTAAAGAAGCGAGAAGTGCAAGTCTCTGGAGGGACTACCACCATAAAGCATTATGTACATGAGCTCGTGCTCTCACCCCTACATGGCAGAAGGCAACCCAGAAGACTTTGTGTAACACACAAAACAGGGTGATATGTATGGAAGCCCGGTAACTGTAAGGGACTCTTGGCTGATTCGAAATTGATACCTTACATAGCTTACATGCAATGCTATGATTGCCTCCAAGGTTCCTGCGACAAAGCTGTCTGAAGCTCAGTCTTTAGGATCTCCTCCAGGTTTTCGGAGCCGGAGATAGGTGGCAAGCCATCCACGTAAGCAATAAAGTCTGCATGTGTGGCGTGCATGTTGAGTCCTTAGACAATTGCTAGCGCTTGCTAGCGCTTGCTAGAGCTGCTAACTATTGGTCTATGAATCGACTTCCTCAGCCTGGAAGGAAGCAAGTAAGGCTCCAACGGTGGAAAGCTCGCTGCTGCAAAATGCCAAAGCCAATGCAGAGAACAAATGAAGTCACATAAGCTGTGGCCAAGAAGTAAGCCTTTGTGGACATCAAACTCCGTTGCTGCTCATAGCCCCGGTGGATCACTGCACAAAGCTCTCGTGGAGATTGAGGATTTTCGGTTCCGAGAGCATACAGAGAGCCGTCAGTTGAGGAAACGAAGGCCACCTCAGCCATGCAGAGAATTGGCGAGAAAACTTACAATACAAGATAATACAAGTAAACAGTTTTCCATTGGCAGACTTTGACACGTTCATTGCAACCCAAATGCCCAGAGTCCAGCGATCACCAGCGCCCAGACCATGATGAAAAGTTGGTAGCGGAAGAACAGCACAGAGCCGGGACCAGCTACAGGCACCTCAGCAATGTTGCAGCTTCTGAGAAAAAGGATCTGAAATATTTCCCTCATATTTTCAGTTCCAGGAGGGTCATTCCACTCACTCCCGCTGCAAGCTACCGAGGAGCTGCTAAAGTGTTTGTCTTCAGGGGCCATAGCTGGCGTTCCTCGCCTCGCTCCTCCCCCAAGTCCGGCTTACAAAGCTTCGTTTGAGTCCTGAATTGTAGAGCTTTCCTTTCTTCCTCCACATTCACTTTGGGTCGGGCTGCCAAACTTGCATACCATGCCACAAAGTAGATGATGGGGAACAGGATCACGAAATACAGTGAGCCCTTGAGAAGAGACCCTACCACGGGAACTTGATAGACGCAGGCTCCATTTTCTAAAGCAAAGCCCCTCAAGCATTCCGCACAAACATCTGCATGGGATGCCCTGTTGCAACGATGACACCCCTGAACAGCACAGCGCCGGCAGAATCCTCGAGCTGTGTCAGGTACTGGCTGTGCCAGATTGGTGTTGGTATGATCTAAACCGCAGTCGGATGCATTCACGCATTTGAAATTGCAATGCTGAGGAGAGGCAGAGTCTTCAGCAAACAGGGGACAAGCTTCAGGACACTTCTCATCTTTTCCAATCTCTGCAGCATGCCGAGGCGCAAAGCAGCCATCTGGATAGGTCTGTGGCGCGGAAAAGGATGATGGAAATTTGGCTATGACTGCCGCACCTGCCTTCGCTTTGTGGTGCTGATCCTTTACAATGTCATCTTCCTGAGGATCTGCTACAGGTGGACCATCACCTTGAATGTGCCACACATGTCTCAAAGGGCTCTGACCTACGCCCGTTGGTGATGTTGCTGCTGTGTAGTGGACGTGCCTTTTGGAATCTTCGATGATTTTGTCAAAGTCAAAGCTTTGAGCTTTTGCTATCGTGTTTTCTACGGTGTCCTCAATGTATCCTGATTGGACCTCCGGCTCTGGTGATTCAGTGCTAGAATCCTCAGAGTTTTCTGCGGAGTCCACTTCCGCGTCCACGTCCTCGCTTTTCGATTCAGCTGGTTCAGCTGGTTCGTCTTCGGGATCAGGATCTTCGGACTCCCTGAACTCACCATCCTTGCGAATCAAAGCACGCTGGGTTCCAGATGCTGAGAGACGCCCGTCATATGAAACTCTTACACCGTGTTTGGCAGAATGCGCTGCGATGGGAAAAACGATCCCAAGCAACAGCAAGGAGCTGAACAAGGCATGTGAGGCATGTGGCCACATGCCAGGCTTCGTCCCAACTGGTCACATGACCAGCACTTGAGTCAAAACCCTGCGGCAAAGATCACCTTTGTGAGCGATACTGCAATCGAAACACATCGAACGCCTGCCTTGAGGGAACTCTTCACGAGATACGAGCAGAAAGAAACAAAGAAAGAAACAAAGCATATCAAAGCATGGAAGAAGTGCTAGCTCAGAGTGCAGCGCACCTCCTGTAGCTGTGCCATCTTCGCTGATGTAATCTCCAGCTCCGAGAAGGCCTAAGCAATAAGATGCAATAAGATGCAATAAGCAAAATGGGACACACTCAGGCTACGCAGGCTACTCAGGCTACTTGCCAAAGGACACTGAACAAACATCAAGGAGCACCTTCTACACGATGGAACCGACGTGTACCGATTCTGAGTCTTCAACCATCGTTTGAGTATTGGACAACATGTCGGATCTTTGGGCAAGTTGGCTTTGCTCCTTCAAAGCTCAAAGCATTGCATGGCTGATTGGACATTGCAAGGAGCAACAATCGGTTGAAACAACCGGAACTGCCGCATCCATGGAAGAAAATGTACTATTCATTCTGCAAATAGCGTCCGCATCCTCCTCATACCCATACTGCAAGGATTGCTTCTTGGAGCTTCGTTCCTAAGCTACACTGGCACAGGTGTAAAGAATTGTAAAGACCCTAGAGAGAAACGGTAAGCTAGGGCCATTGATGGCCATTGATGTAAGCATTTGGCAATTGATGTGCTATTGCAATCTATTGCATATAGAGTGCAGGGATTTGTCATCCACAAGGTCGCGGCTTCGCTTCTCTTCAAAGCCAAACTGGCTGCTTTTTCCAGTTTCTCCTGGCGAGACCCAAAATATGTGCTCTTCGGAATGCTTAGTTTGAATATGTTTGAATATGTTTGAATAAACCTTGGCGAGTATACAAGTGCTCTCAGGGGCAGGAAATGGAGCTCGGGATTCTGGGCTCCTTCTCCAGCTGAAGTTGCTCCAACTCCTGAGAGAGATGATGTTGAGACAAATATGAGAAAAAGCATGCTACAACATGGGACAACACATCAGGTACATCCAATTCAGAGATCTTCAGGTAGATAAACCGCAATGAAGTCAGAGTCTTCTGATGAAGATGGAAGTCAGAGTCTTCTGATGAAGGGTATCTCGTGAGCAAGGGTCTCATGAAAAAGCTCAGGCAATAATATTCGATATAGACATGTACAGAAATTTCAGAAACGTGCACCAAATGTAGTGACAATGTGGATGGTTCCAGGCCTGTTGTTCCTGCTGCACCTGCCTGGCCAGACTTGTGAGCGCTGCCTGACAATTGACTCCGCCGAGTCATAGAATTTCTGGCCGGGTTCGGTAGATCGTCTTTTGGACCGCGGCCTGCCTCATCATCTGAACTTTTCATCGTGCGGTCCATGACATCCTGACGGGCATAGTCCCGAGTCCACAGTGAAGACTTGTGAAGACTGTGTGATTTTGAACAAAGCTTAAATCACTTGTGACACAACCTGCCTGCATGAGCCCATCAACATGCTGCTGAATGGCTTTGAGCTGGTTGCGGTTCTCACTCAGTGACCCCTGGCACTAAATCGGCTCGGGGTGTTCAAGATCAGTGGTTCAAAGGCATGGAATGCCTTGAATTCAGAGGTGACGACATTAATTATACATCTTGAACTCATCAAGTAACGGCAAGATGCAGTATGCCATGGAACCGATGCCGCCTCTAGCTGGGCGACTCTAGACACTCTTTCAGCTAGGTCTTTCTTTACAGCCTCATCAGGAGCCGAGCTTGGGAAAGAAGCAAGTTCTCCTCTCTGAATTGCACAGCTGTCCTCGGTGGCAGTCTTCGCTTGTGCACCTTCCTGGTTGGCAACGGAGCGAATGAGGGCAAATGCCATCAAATGCCGCAGGTCAGAGGTATGAGAGAAATGCACAGTCCAATGCACAGAGTCCATCACTTGCCTTGCCAAATTTGAGAAAATTGATAAATTCATCACATGAAATGCATCACTTGTCCGAATTTCTTGTGCGATCCCTTCATCCTTTCAGCACCCCTCTCTTGGCCTCACGGAGCTCTGAACGAATTTGGTCTGCTGCCTGCTCTGCTGCGTGGAGGCCTCAGCGCATCTCTGTCGAAAGTCCATGAAGTCCACGGAAGCACCTTTGAAGTCACCTTTCACAGGCTTTTCACAGGCCTTTCACACAATTGACACAGTTGATGCTTCATTGCCCTCGCCAGACCGCATTCAAATCCTCTCAAGTCATCCTTTCACATCCAAGAATCCTGAATCCTTGTTTGCCCTTGTTTGCAGCTTGTTTGCCCTTGTTCCTCTGTGTTCCTCTGTGTTTTCTGTGGCTCTAGCGCTCTTCCGCGTCGCGCTGACGCTCTTCGGCTGCTGCCAGCTGTTGGCTGTCTAGGTTCTGCTGGGCCTACATCCACCCGCTGTCAATATCTGGTCCAACGAGTCCACTGAAAAATGCCATGCCGGGAGTCAATTGGCCATGGGAATTTCCTCCGAGCCTCCATAGATGTGAAGGATGCCATTGCCTGGACTAGAAGTGGTTCAATCAGCAAACTGAGGTTAGAGACCCTTCATGTCCTTTCATGAATGTTGATTCATGGCTGGCTTGGGGCATGCAGCATGTGGCAAAGGGGCAAAAAGGTTTATTTCCAGCTTGATACCCGTCAGATATCAAAAATCTTAGTGTGCTTTCTGAATTGATGCAACGTTGGCTAGGTACTGGCGAAGCCACCTCCTCAAGCTCCTTCTGTAAAACATCCATGAAGTCTTTCTGTGAATCCTGGGCAATGAAATGCAATGAACATCTTTAAAGCAAGCTGGTTGTCAGCTCGAGCCTGCTCTGAAGTTGCCTTTTCTGCAAGCGCCTTCGACTGGCTTAATCGAGTTTGCTGGGCTAAATTCAGACTCAGAACGGAGAGTCCGGTTTGCGGATCATGCAAATCAATGAAGATCACTGTAGAATCAAATAACATGTTTTTTAAAAACATAGAAACTGAAGATTAGTTGATGTGTTTGCCCGGGTTTGGGGGTCTCCTTCTTCTGTTCGTCCAGCTCCTCGATGGAGCTAGCCAGTTCCTGCGCCTGCAGACTCTGCAGACGTGACACAGTACTTCATGCATTTCATGCTGCATGCAATATCCTCAGTTCTGCCAGTTCTGCCAGTTCTGCCAGTTCTGCCAGTTCTGCCAGTTCTGCCAGTTCTGCCAGTTCTGCCAGTTCTGCCAGTTCTGCCTTTGCACCGTTTCTATCCGTTTCTGCCTTTGCGTTTGTTCTTTCAGATCTTTCAGATCTTTCAGTTGTGTGCTCAGCTGGCCTCTGAACGCCAGTGGTCCAGTTCCACAGATGCAGACTTCACTTCAGAGTCAAAGTCCTGCTGAGCCTTACTAGCACCTCGGTTGTTTTTCGCTCTTGTTATCTTCTGTTGTAAAGGATCCTAGCTATGCCTAGCTTAATTTTATAGCAATCTAGCTCTCACATAGCCAGGAGATACTTGCCGGCAACAGACTTTTCTAGTCAGACTGTCCAAGTTCCCTGCTCTCCCTCCACTGTTCTCGTTCGCGAAGAGTTTGCGAGAGTTGACGCTCCGTCTGAAAGCAAGGCTGTACATCAAGTTGCCACCGAAACGTGTCAACATGTGTCAACTGTAACCAGTTTCAGCCAATGATGGCTTGCTTGATCATTTTAACTACTTCTTTTAAATTTGTTGATTGTTTCTGATCATATTTGCAATTTTGTTGCTGAGAATTTACAGATGGACAGTACTCAGGTCGTTCAAGTCACTCAGGCTGGCCTCGTCACGGTTGCTCCGAAGCTCGGCAACGGAAAGTGTTCGCAAGCGGAGGGTCTCCTCCAGCAAGCAATGCTGCGCAAAATGCGAATGCAAAATGTTCTTTATGATATTTTGTGATTAGTATTTATTATATTATTATATATATATGATAGAATTACTCTCTTTGAGTCTCCTATGGTCTCCTTACGTCTCCTTTCATCTTGAAATATCTCGAATACTGTACTCTTTCTGAGGCCAGAAGCTATGTCTCTTCCCGGTCGTACAGAGCTTTCACCAGATTTCGCCATGCATACTTCGACGAATTCGAGTTTGTTGCATCTTGTTGCTCTTTCTTCCCATGCTGCCTTGGCCTCGCCAATACTCTGCTGCAGGTTGGCAATCTCGGCTTCTGTTGCTTGCCTTAGATGAGGCAAGTGTTAGAGTGTTGCATGCTACCTTGCACAGCATCTAATTAAAAGGCACGGTAAAGAAAATCTGAGATGGGAACTTCCGGTCGCCCACATCCTTGATCTCTGCCTCAAGGTGGATGAGGCGGTCCCGCATCTTTACTACCTGAGTTGAGACATGCATTGCGCATTGCCATTGGCTCAAAGTCTAAAGGTGTTGTTTCCAAGCCGCAAGCCTCTTGCGCAACCTCTTTCAGCTGTTCCTCGGCTGAACTGGCCTGGCAACGCTGGAGGCGATTCTGCGCACGGCTGAAAAAGATTCAAAAAGCACAAGCGATTGCAGTAGAAAGGTCCAAGTTGTTCCAAGATTGTTCCAATGGAAATGAAAGGAATTGAATATTGCCACGACTGCCACGAGCTCTTCAAAGAATTGATCCTTCATCATATGCACCACGCTTTTGCGCAGCGGAAGCTGCACAGGGCCACAGGGCCGCTTCAGAAAGAGTTTTCCTCCTGCCTGTCTCTTCGCATCGCTCATTGAAGAGATCTTTGCCTTGAATCAATCAAGCTATAATGGCCTTGTAGTATGTCGGTCCGTGCATTGCAAAGAAGCTCGGAAAAGAAAGAGGAAAAATTGGAAAGCTGAGAGACCAATCCAAACTTGACCTTGTTACGAATTCATTTCCAGCTTTTTGCCAAGCCTTTGGTCCTGCGGTGCTGAACCGAGCCCGCAGCCTTGATGGCAGCCATATCACGCTCTTTGGCCTGAATCTCAGCTGCCTGCAAAAGGGCCAGGCAACTCCTTTTCGAAGTCTCCACAAGCAGAATGAAACCAATGAAATCAGATTTGGGAGGGGGTCACCGCCTCTAAAACCACTCCATAAATGGTCACAAATTTCAAATTGCCCCAAGATTGCCCAGCCACTCACTACCACCGAAACCACAATTGGACCACCCACACGAGAAAGGAGAGGAAGCAAGATGAAGCAAGCAGTGTGGCTGCATATTCCAGGATGCTGCCCTCCTACTTTGCCTACTCTGTTCGACTGGTCATTCCGAAAAAACAAGACTGGTCTTAGACAGGGCTGGTTGGAACTGGTACTGTATGCACAAGTCTGTATGCCCCAGGAACATCTAAGTAGACCACTTTGGATGGGATGGGATGTCAATGTCTGAAGTCTGAACCAAGGTAAGCAAAGTATCTGAATCAAAAAAAAGGGGCTCTTGTTATTCTTGTTCCGAAGCACAAACGCGGTTGCTGATCCAAAGTTGCAGAAACCGTTGCCTCTCTGTCGAGAAGTGAAGGACGCGCAGCAATAGCTGAAGGTGTCCGGTCCCTAGCCTCACCAATGCAACTCACACCATCAAGAATCTTGAAACATCTTGGAACATCTTGAAAGATTTGGAAAGTCTGCTAGAGAGGCCGAATCTTCACGACTTGGCTCTGAGGCTTTTTGAAGTATTTTTTTGCACAGCATCAAACACGCCTGCTGTTTGTTGAGTTCGAGCTCCCTTTCCAGCTTTGAGAACGCATGTTGGAGTGCTTCCAAATCCTGCATGGAAATCATGGAATATATGGAATCACAAGGCTTGGCCCAAGCAACGGCCCAAGCAACGGCGTTTTCGAGGGCACGATGGCACCATTCCAGCTGTCTGCTAGAATTCACATGCGTCAGTCCTCAAAGCCTGGACCCACTGGACCCCTGCCACTACCTGAGAAGTCAGATCCAAAGAAATATATAGAAAGAAATCAAAGAGATTCAAAGAGTATGTGGCATATTGTGGCATAAGCACCAGCCGTCACCCATGGAATGGCAGCTCCAAGTTCCAGGCCAAGGTCACTGCTTGACCCAAACTCCAGGGAGACGAAGATCCTGCATATTGTGAAAAACGTTGGTAATTTGGAGCCCTGGTAGCTGACACAACGGTTGATTTTTTTCTCAAAGATATTGTAGATAGACTGACACGCAGAAGAACAGAAACTAAACTGAGCAGTACGAAGCGCGTTGAAGTATTGTCCACAAATGCTGCCGAGTATCTGAGGTTGCTCCCAGCTTGGTGGCACCTGCAAACGCGTTTGAACTCATATCTCGAGACTCAAGACGCAATCGGATGAAAGAAAATCAAAGAAAGCAGCCTGGTCAAACGTTGCAAGAGGATCACCAGGTGCCAACAGTGCCACCTGAAACCCGCACTTGCATTACTCGCATAAGCTTCATAAGCTTCATAAGCTTCATAGTTTATGGGGAAAAACTTGAGCCCAAGCATCTATCTGCCATGTCCAGTCTGAGATCCAAACCCATGAGGACCAGGAAGCTGAAATGCTGGACAAACTAGACAATGGTATCTTCCGCTCGTAAACGTAAGCTTGTGTCTGGGTATTCCTGCAGCCCGGAGCCCAGTGCGTTGACTTGGGTTGATCAGTTGCTGTTCTGACACAAAGTTTCTCTTGACCGCAAGATGTCCTGATGGATATGCACAGGATGTCACTGCCTGACCTAAGTTTCTGTTCTGCACGCACTCTTGCTTGCAAACGAATCCGGCATTCGTTAATCCCAATCAGTGACGTCTTCAAAACTCAACCTGCCACATGACATACTCAATGACCAAGTCGCGCTTCTAGCGCCACTCTGTCTTGCGAAAGGCCATTTCCCGGCAAGAAGGACTTGCCAGCCTCTCAAAGTCTTGGACACGATGAGGCTAAACGGCTAGACCATGGATTCACTCGCAAGATCTCGCAAGTATACATGTGCAGCCATGAGCGTATGTGATTATAAAAACGCTTTGAAGTTCAACGCACCTTCAGGTCTGTCACGAGGGCCTCTGGATTGTAAGCATGTAGATTCCTCGTCTGAGTTATGCTGACCAGAAGCCGCATTGCCTGCAAAGCAGTCAAAGCAGCAAGTATGCTGCCCAGAAGAAGCCTCGCATGGCAGCCTATTCCCACCTGAACTTCTTCCCAACTCCGCAAGCATGCTGTGAAAACATCGGCAACGGCGCTAGGCAAATGCGTTCGGCAAAGTTGTTTCTGCTGGGGCTGTCATTATCCTTTCCTTGTGCAGGGGGTTGCTGGGACTCTACTCTACTCCTTTCTGCTTCAAGGCTCCAACTCCTAGGTTCTGCAAGGTTGCGCATTGTCAACAAGTTTGTTGCTATTGAATTGAAAGTAGCTGCCCATTGTAGGAAGCATGAGACTCAAATTATATATTTGCATCGTGAGCAACACAGTTAGCTGAGCCAAGCTATCCCCCAGCGAATATCTCCGCGTTCAAGACTTTTCCCCTGTGCTTCCCCGCCGTCCAGTTCACCCTCAGCTTAGTGAGTTTTGTCTTTTCTGCTCAATCGAATGGACTCAGATTCGCCAATGTGTTGCTGCCTTGGTCGATGCATGTTCCCATGGAACATTCGTGGGCAACCCATCCAAAATATCCAAATACACTCAAAGTACTATGGAGACCTCTGGAAAAAATGTCAGATTTTGGCTTGCAATGAGACAAAGGAATGCCTTGTGGCCTTGTGCCTGCAAGACACTGGATCTGGCCAGTACCGGTAGCAGGATGTGAGGCCACGCCTCGATTTCTTCATGTCAAACGTAACACGACCTGTGGAACATACGATACGAAGTGAAAGGCTGCGGCCGGTGATAGCTCCCAGGTTGGTGCTCCAATCCATCCTCAGCACTAGCACAGCTGGAATAGCTTGAGCATTTCTGACCTGACACACAGGCTGTCTTTTCCCTTTCCCCTCTATTTCTTTTATTTGTAGTTGTAGTTACATGTTTAATTTAATCATTATTATGCCTATAATATGTATATGATAGATATATATATATATTATGTTTTATTTGTACATGTGACAGTACGTAAAACTATATTTGTACAATATTTGTTTGGTGTTTCTCTGTTTTTTTACGCTCCTGTTTCTCTTGTTGGTTCCTTTTTCAGCCACGCAGCGTAGATCTGGGCCACTTTAGGGATCAGCCGTCCATCCTCACCTCACAAGGCCGAGAATCCATTAGAATCCTCGATACAAATGCGAAGTCGAAATGTGTATTGCGAAAACTCTGAATAGATCATAGTATAGAAATATATAGAATATAATAGAGTCAAATATATTAAATATATTTAAATATATCATAGATCCACTAAGAATTATATATATATATATTCTTATGAATTATGATCTATTAGATAATCGATTGTACATTCTTGGAGGAGATTAAGCTCAAGTCTGGTCAATCACTTTCTGTTTTGCCCATTCGTTCACCCGACAACCGATCGATCGTTTCAATCAAGTACCCTCAGTCAGTCAAGTGCTCGAATCATTTACTCAATCATATACTAATCGAATCATCGAAAAGACTAAGTCATCCAATCAACCACACAGGCACTGACTCAATCACTTGTGCAACAGTTTACTCCGTTTACTCGAAGACTTGCTCGACCAGCGCCGCATTCAATCACACACTCACTCACACTCACTCCGCAATTCAATGTCAGAAATCAAGCACAAACGAAGCAAAAACGAAAGCGAACAGGCCACACCGTTACTTCCCTGTTCAGCTGCACTGAGGATGTAGCCTTCTATCATCTCAATCCCTTCCTTCTCTGCAGGGTCAAGCCACCTACCGATGCACTATCAGATTTTGTCACCGAATCACAACACCGCAGATACCGCGGATAGCCGCGGATAGCAGTGAATCGCGTCCTGCCTGTTTGCCCACAAGTCCAAAAGCCGGGCCGGTTTGGGCGGAGGAGGATCTGCGGGATCCTGAAAACCAGCAGCTGAAGCTGGACCCGAGAAAAGCGTTCATGTCTTTTGTGTGGAGTTGCTGATTTCTGAGTTTGATTCATTCATCCAAAACCATTCGAAACCAAAACATGCTCAGCCATGCTCCTCATCAGGTGTCAAAATGATTTCATCAATGCGCAGCATTGTAACGTGCTGCCTGCAGGCCAGATCAAATGTACACGTCCGAGCTGGTTGCAGTACAGTACAACATGGTTGCAGTACGGCGGCCCCAGACCGTCTTCTATAGAAGTGCGACTGCTTGCGCCGTGGCTTGTACCTCTCAAAGAAGAGGTAAAACAGAATCCAGAAGATTCCAGAAGGCACTCCATGAAGAAGTTCTGAAGTGTGTACTACCAAGAATGAAATTCCAGCAGGCACCAGAAGGCTAGCATTTCTTTGGTGAGGGTCTGCTGCCTTCAGAACACATCTTGGCAAGCTGGCAATCAAGAGAACATGACGGCAACAAGCTGGGGTGTTGACTCTACTGTTGCCTTCACTTTTGCGTAAGGCCTTGTATTTTGCGTTGAAATGCTTCGGAGATGTTGAAACACAACCCAACTGCATTTCCGCAGGTGCAACCCGTGAAATGTTTACTGAGCCAAGCACACAGTGGGCTTGCCCAAAATAGTGAAGTCCTGTTCAAGGGGCTCAAAGCGATGATCCCCTTCGATCTCCTTGAAGCTCCTTTGGTTCGTTGGTTTTGCTAGTCTTTTTGCTTGTCTTTCTGGTAGCAAAATGTATCGAAGTTGTCCCTCAAAGCTTTGAACCTAGTGCGACTTTCCCAAAGTGTTTCTCGCTGTTTCTACCGCTTCCGAAAGTCTTGCGATCCATCTTGCATCCTCCCCTGCTCTGACTCACAGTCCTTCGATCCAACCAAAAGCACCGTACCAAACACCACCTCACTCAGCACATCTCAGCACTGACAAACGCGGAGGTCGGAAGGTTGGAAGATTCAATCAAAACTCTGTGTTTGCAAAGCGGTCACTGACCTTCTCTCCTGCGTCTCTCCGATGTAGTTTTTCAGCCTGCACGATATCGCCTACCTTAGAACTGCATCATACACAAGGAAACAGATTGTCCACCGAAGCACATCCAATGCTAAGGTCTTTGCCGTGACCTTGTGCTGGTGATACACACTGCCTTACAGTCTGTCTTCAAATGCTAACGACATCTCACTCACAAGCACACAGTGCTTGTTTTACAAATGTATACAGCCAATGACAGCATGCTGCTGCGTGTAATCCAAGCTGCTTTTGAAAACGCAGAAGAGTTCTTGCTTCTTGATCCTCACATATCTCACAGGCGATTGACACCTAGGACTGTTGTGTCTGTGCAGCATGTGCAGCCAACCAGCGCCTGCCTTTCAAAGTGTTCAGGATCAGGTAGTTCTGGCTGAGGAGTCCTTGTCGATCAGTTGCAAGTCTCAACGTTGCAAGAACTGGCTGCAGAAAGAACCAGTGTCCTGTGCGGCATATCCTCGTGCCAAACAAAGGCACAGGTTGGCTTATTGCCTCAGCAGATTCGACTCCAAGTATCAGTCTATGTGTCGCAAAACTTAATAAAAAAACATCATCTCTGGTCGACCAAGCTTGCGGACATTGCTACTGTCAGAATTTCAACCAAGAGACGCGGGAACTCCGTTCGCATAGGCTTCCAGTGACGAGCGATCTGAAGCAGGCATGCTTTTTAACCAGCACATATAATTGCGTAGTATTGCATAGTTTGCTTTTTAACGCAAACCGGGGATTTGCTGCAGTGGAAAACACTTTTAGCCACTTACAGCATCACTCTTTGATTCAGCCAAAGGGACAGTCATTCGGCTTGTGGAGAATCTAGTGGTCCACTGCCAACGAAGCTTCATGTCACCTTGTCAAGGAAGGTATGCCAGCACAACTGAATTTTGTCCAGCAAACTTGCAAACCTGAAGTTGAAATGGAAAAAAAGGCCAACTCAGCCCATCACTGTATGTGAGGACTTCGTTCATATTGAGCTCAACATCTTGCAAAGGATGCTTCGGTATTTTGGGAGGCATGTACCTGTTTTACACAATCGGTGCGAGAGATCACCTATTCCAGTCATCGCACTTTGCGATATCCCAAACTTCTCTCGGCCCAAAAGGTTGATCAACGGTTGATCCATTCCAGGTGTTTACACTTTTGCTTTATCCTGATTCATCGTGCACAATGAAATCGACCAGCCAGAAACGGCGGCAATGGTTTATCCGGGATCTGCTATGCTGTGGGGCACGATGGGCGCTTCCGCGACCTGAGGAAAACATGAGTTGAAACTAGTGTTTTGGCAGCACAGCAAGAAGGAAACGTGAGAAGGAAATGTGTGAAATATACTTTCTTTGTCAAACAAGCAATAAGATGCAATCCGCTGAGCAAAACACCCCTGGATCACTTCCATCTTGTGTCCGAGAATGTGACCTCCAGGGAAAAATGATCCGCTCGATTTTAAATAGCAATGGTATAATGAATTTCAAAATCATCTCAGAAACAGCTCGACACAAAAATCCATGATATGCTTGTGATCTTTGGGCCTGTTGCTTTGACAGGATGCCGAATAAATCCCCGAACCTTGGTTTCATCAATTCTCGTTGGAAAACATGACATGAATGGCCTGTGCTTGGAAAGCTAGACGTCAGTTGAACACAGCGGAGTAGCCGCAATGGAATGTTACAATGAGTGTGAATGATACAGTAGGTGTGTGCGTGTGTTATTCTGCAGGTATACAGTGAAAAAAAACAGGGCACGCCATATCATAAAGCCCAATTTCACAGAAATCTATTATGAAATCAATCTCATTAAATGCACTGAACGCAGTGGATGGTAAAGCTCACCAATCCAGGGTGGTGGGTTTGGTGGTTTTGTAGGACAATGTGGTGTTGTCACACAACGCAAGCGAGTAAGAAGCTATGATGTGAAAATATACTTCAGAACATGATTTTGAAAAGCCGTACAGTATAGGTTTAAAAAAAAAAAAACTCTACAATATGAATCAAGCCGTCAAGCATAGAACTGGGATTCGCGAGGAGAGCCTTCCAGAAATGGGGAAAGACTGGAAAGAGAATGGAAAGGAACCTGGATATTTGGGAAAAGTGAAAAAAGACCCTTCCATTGAGCGAAGCCAGTGCCTTGCGGGCTCTGAGCAGAAAGATGCAGCATAGCAATGATAGCAGTTGAAACCAAAATATGTTCCCTCTGGAGCAACTGAGAGTTCATCGTAGTTCATGTTCCTGCAAATTCTATGACTCCGACACCTCCTAAAGCAGTACACGTCCAGCTTGGAAGCTCCACCAATCCTTGAGGCGTTCAGCGTTCAGGAAATGGACTGAGGGATCGTTTGTGAAGGTCTTGGTTTATGCAAATTTTCAAAGAAACAGAAAACAGTATGCGGAGAATCACCATCCATTCATCATCTATTTTAGGGTACCTAGGGTACCCGTGCTGCCTTGTCTGCTGATGAGTCACGTAGATTGGATGGGCTTGGCCATGTTTGCAAGGCAACTCTCAGGTTTGGTGCAAGCCGCCTGGGAGCTAAAGGAAGCACAAGTCCCAAAGGACTGTGAGGCAAAACATCAGTCATCTTTAATTTTTGCTTTTTTAGGGCTACTCTACACATCAGATCCTGCCTGCAGAAGGCCATGTAGCTGTTGCGCTTGGTTCAGAAGCCACTCTTGTCAGCTTCCATTTCTTCCCTTGCTACTGCTACTCTCGTTCATTGGGCCTTGCGCGCTTATCATGCGTTTGAAAAAATGTGTATACCCGCGCGTTATATCGATATACAAAATTAGAAGCACGCGACAACAAAGTGCAGCTCTGTTTGGTCTTAAATGCGCGTTCCAGAGGTCCGGATCAAACGTTTTGGGTTAGTGTCAAACACATCATGGGATTCGCAGAAGGTTCAACTATGATGGAGCCAAGAGATGTGCTCACTGCAGCGGTCCAGCCCAGTGATCTTCAATGACTCTGCTGCAGTAAATGCCATGACGTTGCCTGCAATTGTCATCAGCAAATACACTGATTTCTTGCATGGTGACTGGACCATAACTTTTTCAATTGACCATGTGAGACACAGAATTTCCCAATCAGCGATCTGATGAAGTGTTCACTGTTCATGAAATTCTGGCTATCAATGGCCAGACATTGCACGGCTTAAAACTTTGTTCTGAGACCACTTGGAAAGCATTCACTGCTGTTCCTGCTGCTCAAAATGCGCCAGCCTGTACCACTGCTAAGGAGGCTGGAGTAACAGCTGTGACTTGTGCCGTGTGCCATATGTTAATCAAGTGTTAATCGTTCCCTTCCATGCACCTTTGGGCGCGCAGCTCTTCTGGAGAAGGAACTGATGGAGGCATCTCTGTACTTGGGGCCTCTACACTGGGAGTAGCGTTTACTCAACAAAACACACACAACACGGAGGCAAAATCACAGAAAGAACTTCCAAAGCAGAACTGATGACAACTGATGACAATTCCATGACAACTGATGACAACTGATTGTGTGAACATTTCCAGGTTGCCACCACTGGGAGCCCCGTGCACTGTTGGCACCCGCAAGGTCCATGCTCTCGGTGCCAAGATTGCCACTGCCACTGCCAGCTGCGCTCTCCCCCGCTGGCCTCAAGGAACTTCGACGCTTCGATGTTTCGATTCTTGCTTGAATCAAGTCGAAACATGTCGAAACATTGATGATCTTTCAACATCTTTGTGTGATGTGTGATGTGTGATCTCTGGTTGTCAGGGCTTCTGTTTTCAGCTGTCTTTCAGAGCCCATTCGCCCTCGCACTCAAGTGAATAATATGCTGAGCTTTCCACTCACCCAAGCCTTGTGTGTTGCTCACCTGAGCGGAAAAGTATGCAAAGAGCAAATATCAAGGGGATGCCAATTTGATACCAATGATGTGTCACGACTAGTGACGCGCAAGACCTTCCAAGCTTTGTGAAAGTGTGTCTTGCAGATAGGCTCCCAGGCTGGAACAGGCCTGAACTGACCAAGGTTGATTCGGTTGAGCAACTCCTCCAATACAAAGTCTTCAACAACACAATGCATAGGCATAAGGCATACACAGCGTACATCATTTGGGGATATTTTGGGCAGGTTTTTTGCTGTTGTCGTGGGCTTTGAATCGCTTCAAAACATTCTCCAGTCCCTTCGGATATTACCGAGAATGCAAATGCATCTCCTGATCCTGTTCGGTGTTGACTGCCTGCATGGTTCAAGGCACAATGCTCAAATCTGCCGATAGATTCTGGAAGTCTCTGTTCATTTCAACTTGGCAAAGCTCGGATATGCTCGGATCAATTCGCGGTGCCTCTTCCTGTGGGGTCAAGCGACTGATGAGCCGTTGCCATGCCTCAAAACAAGTCAGGTCTATGACGTCTGAGCATGTCGCTAGATCACTGGCACTGGCCTTTGAGAAACAGTGCATCTTGATGCATCTTGATGCATATTGGTGCATCCTGTCTTAGTCCTTCTTATCACCTTGTCATACCTTGTCCAAGGTGTCCAAGGTCATGGCCAGGCCAAGCATCTGAATCACCATGGCGACAAACGAATTGGAGAGACTGCAGAGATGCAGCGAAACGTGGAGGCTTTTCATTGCTGTTCGGTCTTCGGTCTTCCTGGTTCCTTACAAATTCACAGAAACAGGTGATCTTTTCTGATTGTAACGAGGGAAAGTTATGTGTAACCAGATGAAGAGCACAATGAAGTAGACGATTATCTGACCACATACTCCGGTCTGGCATAGGAGCATGCTGGTTTGAGCTATGTGTTGCAAACATCTGGACTCAGAGTTGTTGCAAGCACGCATTGCTGACAGACATGACAAAAGATCTGCTGCAGCAACTTTCCTCTTGTACAAGGGTAAACGATGGCAAAAGACTCTTTCATATCGTATGCAGCACTTTTTGCAAAGCTCCCGTTTGCGCTAAGTCTCCTACTACTACGGGCTTGAAGCACGCGAAAGGACCTGCTATGCAATCACAAATCAACACTTAGCTGCAAAGCCCGGATATAGCACAGGAGATGCACAGGAGTGCACAGAGTGCGCGCTGTGCTTAAGAGCACTTAGTCGACATGTCCTTTGCATATCTTTTGTACACGGCCAAGCGCAGGGAGTCGTTTTGCAGACTCAAGCTTGGCCAAAGACCCTGCACCCTCTGAACGGTCTGCCCCATGGAGTAGACTGCAGGGCAGTGAAGATATTGCATGAACCAAGGCAGCACCAAACAATGTGCTGAAAAACATGAACAAAATGCGCTGAAAACGTGCGAATGCAAGGCTCAAGTTTCCAGGTCCCCGTCCTGGACTAGGCGCTCCCATTTGCCAGCCATTTGCTGAACGAAATGTAGTTCTGCAGGTCAAGGTTGCAATATCGGAAGGAGATCAAAAGATGAGTACACTCCGGAGCGTACACATCGAAAGTGCCAGGTATGTGAACTAGATTTCAAGCAGGATGTCTAATGGTCCAATAGCAGTCCTTGTTTGAAGGGTCCAGCAGCAAGGCTGCAGCAAGCATCTCCTTTGGAAAGATGAGGTGATCCATGCCTACACACCCTTCTACGCTGCATCTACAAGACCTCTGCACAAATGGATCCTGAACGATCAAAAAAACTAGAACCGTCGCCGTAGAGCACAGTCGTGCAGCAACTTATACAGAGAGGGAGAGAGAGGGAAACTAACCCACACGAAAACACTAACCACACATCCTTGGCGGTGGAGACATTGCCAGCATGCGCCTTCACAGTGACTCAGGGAACAAAGATGGGTGTGGCAATTCGGATGCAATTCGTCTTTACAAAAGCTACTGCTGACTGATGATGACTGATGTGGGGATCTGTAGATTGCTGGTGGAATAGTTTGTGTTCTCATGTAACTCAACAGACTTTCGGATCCATAGTGACGATGTTCAAAAGTTGTAGGCTGTTGTAGGCTGTGGGCTGTTTCAACATGTTTCAACACCACCGGAAAGGGGATAGCAACACAGGATGGAGAGCTTTGAAAGCTGGCCACCTCAAGCTGGGCCAAATTGGCAAGGCAGCCATGCTGTGTCGCATCCAGGCTTACCGCCTGTTGGTACGCTTGCCTAGCCTGGATCGCCATGGTCACCAGTTGAAACAGGTCAAAGTACATGCTACATCAGTATGTACTTAGTCAAGCGATGTCACACAACATAGTGTCAAATAAGGTCACATTGGCATGAGGACTGTCAGAATTCAACACAATTCAGCAGGCACCTTCTCAAAACACTTTTGCCGCTGGTGAAACTGGCCAATTCTAGCCCAGGCTCTGGATGTCCTCAGAACATGAGGTCAACATGAGGCCAACGTGACTTCTTTTGTCTGTTTTAGTTGTTTCCTTTTTCGTCTGCTGTGCTTCTTCTGGGGCACGGCGTTGCTTTAAAAAATCTTGTCTGAGCTCAATGATGAAATGGGTCGATGGCTGCTGCTTGTCGGAAGCCCTTTCCAAGCTTTTCAGAAGATCCTGCCGACACTGCAATGACAAGCATGAAGAGATTGAAACGCACTTGGACAAAAAATGATGAAAGTACATGTGCGATTATTTGCGCTTGATAGCCTTGCAGAGCATCAAAGCTGGCCTCTGGGACTGAAATGCAAAGCGAGGAAGTGCGACTGGTGCGACTACTTCTGGAAGTTGGTGAAGGCGCTGAAGATCCTAACGTGTGCATGCTCTGCATGTTCAACAAGCAGTTTCTGGCTTTGCATCATTCACAAATCGGTCCATGTTGTCCATGTTGTCTTGTCTCTCACTTGGGCCTTGAGAGTCACATGCTTTGTCTTTGCCAAGCACTTCCTAGGGGTGGCGTACTACGAGTCACACAGCTCAAACATCTGGACATGGTTGGCGAACAGTCAGGTGAACAGCCAGTAAACCAGATTCTCTACGGTATTCTACGGTAACCTCTTGTACTGTAACCCTCTCAATAGATGTTCAAAAGCCTCTGGATCACTGCGCTATACAATCTTCTCGTCTATGGCCGTCTTGCAAAAGAGGTCGCGACAGGAAAGCTTCTGGCAGAAGAGCCGTCTGACCTGATCTCAATCGAATGCAAGGTCTGAGCGTGTGTGATTCCTCTGATCAACTTTTTTTCGCATTTATGCACAGTCTCAGTGAGCAACTTGCTCGCTGCTTCATTGGCCTCACAGGAGCAAATCCTTCATGTCATAAAGTCATAAGCTTCTTTGCCCAGCTTGCCACTTCTTGCAACTCTAAGTGGAGGAAGCTGAGACTTCAAGAAATCTCACAGCTTAGAAATCTATGGAATCCATGGGCATAGGTTTATACATTCCAGGCTGGTGAACCGATTTGTTGGAATCCAAAGGCAGTCTATGAGATCTTCCGACGGTGCCGAAATTCTATCCGCTCAAAAAAGTCTGGGCACAACACAGTTGGCTGGGCACTTGGTGTCTGAGCTTGACTTGGTGTCGGAGCTTGTTCCTCCTCCCAATCAGCCCAAAGAAAGACGAGTCCGAGTCACACGAGTGAGTGTACTGTACAAGGAATAGAGAAGACACCAGAGCCAGTGGAGACTCCGTGTAGACTGTGTTGGGACAGCTACAAGGGGTCAACCGCTGGATGGGCACTTCAATCTGAAGCAGAGACAGGGAACTCAAAGCGTCAACCTTTGAAGTAAGGTGTCTGTAATGCCAGAAGAAAGATGTCCGCAATTCTTAGAGCCTTGACTGCTGTCAAGAAAGCCACAAGTGCATCGTTTGGCACTCTAGATGCAGATTTGATACTTCATCTTCTTTCAGCATTGGACTCAAACTTTAGAAACAGACTGCTGAAGCACTGAATGCAGAAAAGTTCCTGCCTCTGTCTCAGTGGCTGCCTGTTCGTGGAGTTGGAAAGAAGAGTCAAATGACAGAACCAGCGTGGAAGCATGTCTTGCCTCCGGTATGGTTTCCAAAAGCGCGGCTCGTCCTGTGAACGTCAAAGCCAAGCCTGTCTCCGCACTGTGCACGCTAAGCTTTGCACCTCTTTCATTCTCATGTTGCTTCAGATCTGGATTCTCCTCACAAGCACAAAATTGGTCGTTGGGCATAGTTGGGCTGTTGGGTTTGTGACGCAAAAGAAAAGCAGCACAAACTCTCCTCTGATGCGAGCCACTGCAGCAGAAATCCTCGCAAAAACGAAATGAAGAAAGATTCCGAGGATTGAAGGCCCAAACCATGCCTGGTGGATCTGGGACGTTGATGCCTTGCACAAATGCCTCTTGCTGCATTTTGAGCCATTCCTGCAAAATGCACCAGTTGAATCCAATTGCAGTACCTATCCCAATCGGGTGCCTTTCATGCCTTTTGGATTGAAGCGGCACTTCCAGAGAACACTCGACTCTATGACTTCAAGTCCTGATGCCACAGACTCTCCTGTCGCTTCAAGTCCTTCAAAGCACAGAAATATGGAATCTGAATTAATATAAATTCATATAATAGAATCAGAAAGAATTAAATTGGACAAACTCGTCGGCAAAAGTAACAAAACATCTGAGGAGCATTTTCTGAACGAGGAGTACCTGATGAAAGCTGCTCTGAATTGGCAAAACATGCTGCTCCTCTCGCAAGGCTGCAATTTCTTCAGCAGCCTCGCACTCACAGTGCTCATCGTTTGCAGAAAGTTAAGGCTTTTGAATATGTGCAGCGAAGTAGTTCAATTGTGGGAGGTGTCGCAAAGGCAGGGATGACAAAGCCACGTGCTGCGAGTGCTCGAGCCTTTTCGCGTCCTCGAAGCAACTCCTCTGACCACAAGGAATAGTCCTCGCAATGCTGCTGCTCCAGCTTCTCCTGCAAACAGGAGCCTGCTGCAGTGCACAAGGTGTTGGAAGGGAGGTCATGATAGGTCAGGAACCGCCCTTGCAATGACATGTCGCAAAACGGCACTCCTGTTGGGCAGACATCACAGAGACTTGGTCCTCCGAAAAAAAATGAACAGTCTTTCAGTATGTCTGAAAGCAAAGTTGAGACAAATCTAAGGTATCCAAGGTGCAGAGACTACACTGAGGCAAGAAACAAAGGGACAAAACACGAAAAATCCAGGGCCTGGAACGCGGCTTGTTGTTCCACAACTTCAGTAGCCAACTCCTGCACCTCACAGTAAAACTCGGACCAGCTCATGCAAAGTTGTGCCTGGCATCCCTGGCCTGTTGTTCCATGCGTCTCAAGGCTTCAGCATGGCCCTCTTCTTGAGCTGCCATCACGGATGCCTGAGAGTCTAGCCAGTTGTCCACTTCGATCAATGACATAGTAGCGATCAGTAGCAAGCAGAGCAATGATTCTTTTTGAAATTGTAGAGAACAAGCGAGGAAATTGTCAACATTCTTTATCTATGCAGACTAGTGAGCAACTAGTGGCCTCTTCCTCGATCCACTGCTCTAACAGCCTGATCGGTGGCGGATGAATCATCAGCAGATAAAGACACAGGATTCCGTGGAGACGCTTTTCTGCAGCCAAAAGATGCAACAGGGCCTGCATCGTAAGTTCAGAAGCTCAAGCAGTACCTCTGCAGAGCTCTGCACAGCTCTCCACCCAAAATGTCTTAGCATCACACTGCCACTTTCACACCAGTGACACTGCCAGCTTGTTTCCGCACCCTGTAGTGGTTCAGACGGACATCACTGCCATCTGCCTTGGATACCATCAAACGTTGCCAACGGATCAGATCAAATGGACTTTGTCCACTTTTGTCGACTTGGCGGCTGGGCGTTTTGATCTAGGTCATCTAGGTGTCCTGCATCTCCAGTGGCCTTCTGTGACAAAAGTTTTTGCAGCTCAGACTCGCTCTGCCTGGGCAGCGAGCCAGGTACGTGAGGTGGTTTTCCCACAAAACGCCGAGATCGGCTTCTCAAAAGTTCACTGGAAGTGAAGTTAATTGTTGCTCGCCTTTGTCAAATGAACGCGGGGTAAGAGAGACCCTATCCAGTTCATCCCCATTTGCGGCGGCCTCAACGCGGTCATGGCCCAATCACGTTCACGTTCAGCAGTTGCGAGTTTTTCCTGCAGAGGGCCATCTGAAACTTCCCCTGCCTCCCTCCAGTTGCCTCAGAGCATGGACACAAGGCAGTACCAGCCGGTCCTCCATTTTCTTCAAGTCTTTCTGCAGTACCAGCGCCTGCTAGTTAAGATTTTCCAATAAAATTTTGAGCATACAGAATCTCTCGCACCCCAGAGACTTTCCTATCTTGACAGGTAACTCCAACAACAGCCTCCTCACCAACTGCTGGTCGTCCGTGAAGACTTGAGTGACTTAACGC